AAACTCACAGGGGCAGTTCTGCCCTGCCTACAGGTTTGTTATGAGTCGGCATCGACTCGGTGGCTGTGAGTTTAGCTTGGGCCTCCGACCGCAGCCAGCTCAGGCCCGGCGTGCTAGGCTGGAAGGTCTCTTGGTAGTGAGTCTCACTCAGTGGTCTGTTCCAGTCCCCCCAGGGAGACCTGGAACTCCAGAAGTGCATGGGCCAGGACTTCCTCCATGTTCATGCACAGAGATCAGCATGGAGCAGGACCCCAGGGAACATGTAACTAACAATAACATCCGCCAGATCAGTGGTTTGAACCCACCAGTCATCATCCCACAGGAGAAAGATGAGGCAGTCGGCTTCCACAGAGACCCACAGCCTGGGAAAGGGCAGTCTGAGCCTGCCCTGGAGAGTTACTGAGAGTGGGGACGGGTTTGAGGGCTGTAGGCTGTCTGGGGTCTTCATCTCTGCTGGTGCTGCGGGAAGAACTGTGCTTGCAGGGTTGACCTCCGGAATCCTGGAGACCTTTGTGCATTGGCCAGGACGCCTTCCCTTATAAGTGACAAATGCCATCCCACGTCCTCATCCACGCCAGGGAGTGGTTGGGTCAGATCCCGGCTCCGGGGAGGTCTCCTCCCAGGAGCCCAGCACTACCCTGGCGATGCTTCCTCTCTCCATTTCTCACTCTACTCCTCTGTCGGGCTTCCTGGGGGACCTTGCAATGCATGGCGGTCCCCTGAGCCCCAGGCATCCCTCCAGCCAGCTCAGCTCTCCAGGTGACAAAGAGCAGCTCTTGTCCCATCGTTTCAGTCAAGTCCCACGGCCAGCGCCCGGTCCCTGCACCGACCACTGCAGTCAGAGGGCTGTGGCACTTGGAGAGGGTGGACTTGACTAAGTGAAGTGCTCACCCTGGAAGCCAAGGAGCGTGAAGGGAGCCAGGGGCTCTGCCCGTAGCCAACAACTATCATCCTCTGTGCCCAAGCTCCACGCAGCTGCTCTGCCTGGTCTCACTAAAACCCCATCCTCTCCAACCTCTAGTGGTCCTCCGTGCTGCCCAGCATGAATAAGTGTCCCCTGCTTCGTTTGCTCGCTCACTTCCTTAGCCATCTATCTTACCCGCCTCCTCTGTCTTCAGGCAGCCTCACCCTCACTGCCAGCCTTGTTTCCTGCCAGCCTGAGAAAATGGGAGCAATCATTCAAGAGCCAACAATGACGTTGGGGGTCTGCTGCATGATAGGCACTCTCAGACGCACTGGGACTTATCAGTCTCCAAAGAGACAAATGTCCAGCCCTGGAGGTGATGACCCTTAGGTGTTGCCAAGTCACACCTGGTAGCTACCTCGGGCCAGACACCACCCAGGCTCTTTGCATCTCTTAAGACAAATGAGTCTATGGGGCACATGCTCTTTCTGTCTGTGTGGCCAGTATGTGCATGTGGTCCCCCGGGTGACTGTTTGAAGCCACCCAGAAGCACTGCAGGGGAAAAAAGCCCTGGTGGTCTGTTTGCAGAAGGGGCACAGCTGAGGAACCCCTACCATGCAGCCCTACTCTGCGGCTCGTGGGGTTACTGTGCGCCAGGGGCAGCCAAGGGCAGTGGGTTCAGTGCGTGGGTAGCAGGGCTTTTGTCATCTCCATGAACAATTCTGAAACCCTCTTTGTACTTATCCGGCGGCACGGCCATCGCCATGATTCGTTTCTAAGCCCTTCACAAGAGCTCAGCGCCCCCCTAAATGATGACTCCCCTCTCTCCCTCCCTGGGAAGCACTACCAGACTCTGGTCTCCATTCACTTGCCTATGTAAGTGGGATCCTCCCAGTTGTTTGCCCTGCTGTCATTGGCACTGCTTTGTAGATGAGAAAACGGCGGCACAGAGAGGTTAGGGGACTTGTCCAAGGTCACACAGCTGTTGAGTGGTGGAGCAGGGATTTGAACCCAGGAAGTCCCAAAGCCATGCTTTTCACCAAGATGCTCTATGACATACCTATAGTGTCCACGCCTTGTCTGTCCAGCCATCATCGCCTGCACCCCTTCCCTCAGCCTTCGGCCCGCCCTGTAGGATGAATCGCCCCAACTCCTTGCCAAGACCAACCGTGTCCTTCATGCTCCCAATCTCATTCCCTGGCACCCGCCTAGGACATCACCCCAGCCAGGCCCCTCTCTCTGCCGGACCTCCCACCTGCAAACATGCTGCGGCCAAATTCTCGTGACCCTTGTCCTCTCCCAGTTAAGGGACCTCGTCATTTCTCTGCAAACCTCACTCAAAGGTGCTACCTGTGCTTATGTTTCCTAACCTTCTCCCGACCTCTCCGGGACCCACTCTGGTCAAGCATTTGTGCAACATGCCACCCGAACAGTCAAGGTCACCCGCCACGTCCATGGGTGGGTGTCCCTGTTCATGGCTCATTCCTCATCTCCCTGGACACATCCAGAATACTTGACATACCGGATCACTCACCTCTGGGAACACTGTACTGACTGGATCTCCCATGCACACACCGCCTGTGTTCTGTCTCTGCTGCGGGTCCCTCCTCATCGGCTCCCTCCCTGCCCCGCAAACCCTCCAGTGACCCGGGCTCACGGCTTGAGTCTCTGTCTTCCACTCCAGGACTCTCACCTGACACTGAGCCTTCACAACCCGTCTAGAAGACAGCAACTCCCCAGTTCCGATCTCCAGCCCCACCTTTCCTCCAAATTCCAGACTGGCATTTCCAGTCTCCTACTCCACCGCTCAAGGAGCCCTGGTGGCGTAGCTGGTTATGAGTTGGCTGCAAACCACAACATCAACAGTTCGAATCCACCCGCCCCCCCATGGGAAAACGATGAGGTTTTGTACTCCCATAAAGTGTGGCAGTCTGGGAAGACCAGGGGAGACAGTTGTACTCTGCCCTAGAAGGTCACTGTGAAGCTGCATTGACTTGAGGGCAGGGGGGTTGGTTATGTTGTGGTTGTTACTCAGTAAGCAATCAAATACAACACAGCAACAAACCAGCGCCATCCAGCTGATTCCAGTGTTAGGTGCTCCAGCCCGCATTCCCCTTCTCTCCGCTCCAGCTCCACCCGCGGAGCTCCCATCTCAGGAAGTGGCGCTGGGGGACTTCCAGGTGCTCAGGCACAAACCTCCTGTCATCCTGGACTCCTCTCCCGGATGGCCAGTCTACCCTCTAGTGTAAGCGCTGTGAGCGGAGCTCTGGTGGCTCAGTGGTTAAAGAACACAGCCAATGTGTGGGCAGTTCGAATCCACCGGCCGCTCTGCAGGAAGGGGCTGTCCAAAGATGACAGCCTTGGAAACCCTATGGGGCGGTTCTGGTCTGTGTCGGTCAGCCCAATGAGAGTGGACTTGGGCTTTTGTTTTTGTAAGCCCGGTGGTGGTGCAGTGGGTTAAGCACTGGGAGGGTAGCCACAAGGTAGGTGGTTCAACCCTACCAGCTGCTCATGAGGCAGTCCGCTTCCATAGAGATGTGCAGTGTGGGAACCCCTAGAGCAGCGGTTCTCGATCGTCCTCATGCTGCGACCCTTTCGTGTGGTGGTGACCCCCAACCATCAAATTATTTTTTTTCTTTTTCTTTTTAAATTCTTAAAAATAATTTTATTGGGGCTCATACAACTCATCACAATCGACACATATATCCATTGTGTCAAGCACATTTGTTCATTTGTTGCCATCATAATTCATAAACTTATTTTCATTGCTACTTCCTGTCATTTTGCTACTGTGACGCACTGGGTGGCCCCTGTGAAAGGGTTGTTTGACCCCCAAAGGGGTCGTGACCCACCGGCAGAGAAGCGCTGCTCTAGAGCGCTCTGGTCTGTCCTTTGGAGCCACGGTGAGTTGGGATGGGCTGCACAGCCATGAGTTCTGGGTAGGAGGGCGGGGTTTGTCTGTCTGTTCATCCTGATTCCTCAATGGCTATCACATAGCAGTTGCTTAGTAAATGTCTGTTGGATTGAGACAGTGAATATAGCAACAGTAGCCAGGACCCTCTTAGTCAGAGCAGGAAAGTCTCCCAGAAGCCAGTGGGTCTACCCTGATCCCACCTCAGGGGCAAAGTAGGCCAGGTCACATGGTCTCTCGGGCTCTCTCCCTCACTGTCATCTGAGCGTCTCTCAATGATGTCTCTTCCCATAGGCCACTTGTCCTCATGAGACTGGCCTCACCTCCTCCCTCAGGGGCCCGCAGACTCTCCTTAACAACCGCTGTGAGGCTAACCCAGGGGAGGGCTCTCCTGTGGCTGGGCCCCTCTGATCGGCACACCCAGGAAACTGCCTGTCTCTGAGGCTGACAGGGTTTATGGAGCAGAGGGGTGGGGCCGTCCCATCCTCCTGACAATAACCACCCCACCCCCACCCCGTGTGCTTGTGTGCAGGTGGAAGTTCCTGCGTGTGGGGCTTTGTAAGACTTGGGCCCTGCTGCAAGCTGCCTGGAACGACTTCTCCCGGCCCATCCCAGCCAGCCGTGGCCAGCTGCTGACCCAGCTGCTCCTGTGTGGTTCCCTGGCTGCTGCGGCTGCAGGTCTAACCCAACACTGGCTGGTGTCCTCGCTGCAGTATCCTCTGGGCACCTCGGTCGCGGTGGCCGCTATCTGTGGGCTGCTGCTCTGCCTGAGCCTGGGCCTGGTGCCCCCAGCCCGCTGCCTGTTTGCCCTCAGCGTGCCCACCCTGGGCACAAAGCAAGGCCGCCGGTTGCTGCTCTCCTATAGCACTGCCACCCTGGCCATCAGCGTGATGCCCAATGTCTTGTCCAACGTGAGGGTGGCCGGGCGGGTGCTGCGCTGCATCACCGAGGGCTCCCTGGAGAGCCTGCTCAACACCACCGCCCGGCTGCAGGTGGCGGCGGGGGCCCTGCACGTGGCAGACCAGGTGCGGGGTAGAGGCCTGGCATTTGAGACCCAGGGCAATGGCTCTGCCTTCCGCCTCCACATGCTCCACGTCACCAAGCGGGTCCTGGAGGACTTCTCTGACCTGGAAAGGCTGGGCCGGACAGCCGCCCTGGGGGCCCAGCGGTTGGTGGCAGGGCTCTTCATTCTGGGCCTCCTGGGGGAGGCTGCCTGGTACCTCCACCGCTACCTGACTGACCTGCGCTTCGACAATGTCTACGCTACCCGGCAGCTCGCTGGGCAGCTGGCCGAGGCCCAGGCCACACACCTGGTGGCCTCCCCACCAGCCTGGCTGCTGCGGTCAGCCCGGCTACGCCTGTCCCATCAGGAGCTGTTGAGAGCCCTCCTCAGGCTGGGGCTGCTCAGCCTGCTCCTGGCCGCCACCGCAGTGACCGTGGCCACAGACCACATGGCCTTCCTCCTGGCCCAAGCGGCTGTGGAGTGGGCTCAGAAGCTGGCCCACGTGCCTGTCACACTCACTGTCAAGTACGACGTAAGTGCCGTGACCGAGGGCGGGGGATGCCTTTCACAGGGGGACCCACCATGGAGTGGGACTTGCCTTCTTCCTGTCCTGGTCCTGGGATAGGTTTCAGGGCCCTTGGGGGTCCCGCAAACAACCCAATGAAAACTAAACTGGCCGCCATCCAGTCTGGGCTGGCTCATAGCCACCCCCCCGTGGGTTTCTGGGGGGTGGAAAGCCCCATGTGCTTTTAAAGCAGTCCTTTTTTGGAGCCCTGCTGGTGAACTGGTGAAAGCACCCGAGTGCTAAGCAAAGGGTGGATGGCTCAAACCACCTGTGCCCCCGCGGGAGAAAGATGCAGCGTCTGCTTCTGCAAAGGTTTCAGCCTTGGGAAGCTGGAGGGGACAGTCCTACACTGTCCTGCTAGGAGTGGAAAGCCACTGGACAGCACTTGGGGGCAGTGGGAATCTTTTGGAAGCCGATTGCCAGACTTTTCTTCCAAGGCACCTCTGCGTAGGTTCAGAACCCCCCAGTAGAGTGGTTCCTACGGTACTGGAGCACTTACCGCCCGTGCCGCCCCTGATCTCCTTACCCTGGCACACCTGTGAGAACTGCTGGGCATAATGCTTATGAAAAGGGTCTGGGGGCTCATGTGGGCACAGGAATAGCCCTTGCCTGCTGGGGTTTGGGGAGGGCCCAATGAGATTGGGATCCTGAAACATGCATCCAAATGTTACCGCTTTTATTACTGTCTCAGAGCAGAATGCCTTCCAGGGGAGAAATGGGGCACACATCAGCATGCTCTAGGCTCGATTCTTTGGGACTGCTTTAGAGGGACAGAAAAAAAACAACTGAAACTTGCTGCCATCGAGTGGATTCTGACTCACAGCGACCCCACAGGACACAGTAGAACTGCCCTGTGGGTTTCCAAGACCAGAAGTCTTTACAGGAGTAGAAAGCCTCGTCTTTCTGCCAAGGGACCAGCTGGTGGTTTGGAACTGCTGACCTTACAGCCCAGCACATAACCACCATGCCACTAGGGGTCCTCCTTAGATTACTGGTCCATCAAAGGAACTCAGTTCCATGAGGCTGAGTTCACACAGTCCTCCCTGGGGTACCCAAGTGTACCCAGCGGGCCACAGGGGACCCCCCAGGGGTCAGCCCCAGCCACATGAGCCCAAATTTCTTCTCATGAATGTTACACCCATTTAGCAAAAGGGCAAGTTGAACTCGTCCAACCCGCAAATGTCCTACAGCAGTGGGAGGAGAGGTGGCAACAGTTTCTGTCCTGTTCACCAGGCTTTGGGCCCCCTTGTTTTTGCAGTTGGCATACACCTTCCTGGACTTCCTCCCCTTCCTCTTCAACCAGTCGCCCCCAGAGACACCCTTCCATTCCACTCATGTCTCCAGCCAGTGGGAGCTGCGCTTCACTTCCCCCGGCTGCCCACTCCTGCCAGCCCAGCGTCCCCGCACGGCCGCCGCCCTGGCCGCAGGGGCCCTGCAGCTGGTCGCGTGCGCCACCGTCCTGCTGGAGACCTACGCCCGCCGCCTGCGGCATGCCATCGCTGCTTCCTTCTTCAGGGCCCAGGAGGTCCAGCGGGTCGGCCACCTTCACGCCCGGCTCCTGCGGAGATATAACCGGCAGCGATGCCAGCAGATGTCCCCAGGGGCGCCTTCCTGTTCTGACATCGGGCTTGGGTAGCCAGAACCCCTGCGAGGTGGACAGAGAGCAGCAGCAGGGCGGAGGGAACCGGGTGTGGGTTCACGCCCCTGAGTATTCATCCTGGCCCCTCTGCTGTGTGTCCTTGGGTAGGTCACTCCACCTCTCTGAGCGTCTGGCGGAGAAACCATGGATGCCTCTGCTTTCTCCATGGGAATGTGACCAGGGGGGGATGAGATATGGGCAGAAAGGTCCCCAGGACTCTGCAGAGGGGGAATGAGGCAGCTCAGCCCATCCCCGCTCCCCGCCCCTCCAGAACAGTGTGGAGGGGGCCAAGGCTCTCAGGCTCGGCCATTCTGCTTCCACGATTTGGTGGTGACTTCTATGGTGGCTTTGTCCCCATGCTCCTCAGCCTAATTTATATGCCTCCCAGGCCTCCCTGAACTTATTTATAGCACGGTAATTTAAATCTCCTTGATTTTATAGCTAAACATATTTATTAAATCTGAAACTAGATCCTGGCGTTACTCCTTTGCACCCAGGGGTTCCCCATTTGGGACTCCCAGATTTTGTAAACACAGGACACCCAGCCAAATCTGAATTTTCCACATGGAATGGGAAGAAGTACAACCAGAAAGCTCCTTAGGAGCTAGGATGACAAGCCGTACTTTGGACATGTTGTTGGGAGAGACCAGTCCCTGAGAAGGACACGATGCTAGCTAAAGTCGAGGGGCAGCGAAAATGAGCGAGAGACTCCGTGTGATGGACTGGCACAGTGGCCGAAGCAATGGGCTGAACCGTCCCAAGGTGCGTTCAGAGGGGCAGGACTGGTCAGTGGCTTTTTCCATTAGTCATCAGTCCGCTCGCTATGCGTTGAAAGTGATAATGATAGCATATAACAGACACATCATGGGAACAAATAGTCGTTTAGCACGCTTTGACCTATGTAACGCTAAAAGCCAGAAACCAAGCTCACTGCCATGGAGTGGATGCCCACCCCAGAGCATGCAGGGCAGGGGAGAACTGCTCCTGTGAGTTTCCACGGCGGAATCTCTCCACGGGTGCAGAAAGTGCCGTCTTTCTCCCGAGTGCTGGGCGGCTGATGGTTTTATGTAACGTGGTAGTTACATAGCCTGGTGTCGATTTGGGACTTGAGAGGATGAAGAGTGAAGGGGTGGAGTCTAGTCTGTCAATTGGGTCTTAGCCAATGAGGCCTCTGTGTGGGCGTGGCCTTCTCCTGAGGATTCGGGAACTCCTGGATTTCCTCCTTGGAGGCGGGAGACACACTCTCTCTCTGCTCACTTCCTGTGAGACATCCCTGAGGAGAAGCCACACAGACCCACCCTGATGCAGCCTGAACCCTGTACCAGGAGAAGCCACGCGGAGACCCCGGACACCGCTGAGATGTTTACAATGCCATTGGATTCACAAGACTTCCCACCCACTGACCTGTGATCTTCCTGTCACTGCATGTGTTTCATGAGTCTAAAGAGGACTTTATAGATTGGTATCGGACCTAGGAGCTAATACCAGACTTATGGACTTGATCTGGGCTGGATTGGGATGCTTTATTAATGTACAATTACCCTTTATATAAAACTCTCTCTTACACACATGCGTTTCTGTGGATTTGTTTCCCTGGTCTACCCAGACTGACATTAACGGGAGAGCACCATTCTGTCTTCCACACTCTGCTGGTTATACCATTTCCTCCTCACAGGTCCGTCTCGCTGGGGGAGTGGGTAGGAGGTGGGGCTGCGGAGCCCCCGCAAGCTCTCCTTTTGTTGTTCGTTGCATATTTGTTTGCATCAGGGGTAAGAGCAACTACAACATAGGGATGGGCCGTCTTCCCCTCACCGCCTGAAGTCCTCTGGCTTGCTCAGCTTCTAGGTCTTTCTTTGTGTGGAAGGTGAGTAGCGGGTAAAAGGAAAACAAAAAGATGGCAATAGGAGCAGAAGAGCTGCTAAGTTGCTCTCGTGTAAAAAGAACTTCCGTGGGCTGAATTGCATACCCAATGAGTCAGGGTTTAATTACAAATAAGAAATTGCTTGGGGTGTTTTCAGGGCGGCTCAGGATTTCGTTCTTGGAAATTCGATGCTACGGCACTGTTGGAAGGCGTGGAGGAGGGGGCTCTCAGCTGGGCTTCCAGGAATGGAGCCCCAGAATTGGTACAAGGAGGAGAGTTAATGTCTGCCACCCCCAGGAAGTTAAGACATAGGAGCACCCCCTTCCTCCCCGCCCCGCCCAAACGGGCTCTAAGAATGTGCTGTCTTAGCCACTTCCAGGGATAGCGAAGCTGCCGTCACAACTGCAAATCGAGCTGTGCCCAAGCCAAACACGGCGCCTCAGCTTGGCCGCTGCCCTCCAACATGTTGGAGCTGGGTACTGAGGGGTGTGTTTCCACAGTTCACCGTCGTTGCCAGCAGACCTGCCACCTCACACAGCTCTCAGGGAAGCAGTTCACATCTAGGCCTATTAGTGCCCATACCCTCAAGCAACGGGCAGCCCCGCCCCCTCCAGTCCATCTCACTGTGCCTGGTGGCCCAGGCTTCCTGGCTGAAACAGCAGCAGCAGGACTCAAGCCAAATCTCACAGGTGTGCCTAATTGACAGAGCTCACCCACCCCTGGTGGGAGCACGGTGGGAACCCAGGGGTACAGTGGCTCTACGTGGGGCTGCGAACCACAAGGTCAGCCGTGTGAAACCACCAGCCAACCACTGGAAGGCAGACGATGAGGCTTTCTGCTCCTGTGAAGAACCACGTCCCTGGAAGCTCAACTCAGTCTACAGGGTCACTGTGAGCCAGAATGGGCTCAGTGACCGTGAGCGGTTTTGGTTTTGTTTTATACAAAGCCTTTTATTTACTGCATTCCTTCTCCCCATGAGTTTTCTCTTTTTACTAACTCACACCTCAGACGTAGCTGCAAGGCACTCTGGAAAATGTGCTTTCTCCATTCTCCAACTTCCTTCTTTCAGAAAGACGCATCAAAATTAGGAGTTTGAAACTTTATTGGCTTCTAACCATGGGGAAAAAAGAACTTTTACACGAGCGCCCCGTGCACACATGTAAAAACGGAAATGAAAGTTTAATTAAAAAAAATCCTAGCCCACTCTTGTTGACGCTGACCCATAGTGGCCCTAGATGACCCCAAGAACTGAGCCCCCAGGACTCCCCCAGCCGTCATCTGTGGAAGCCGCCTGCCTTTTCTTTCTCCCTCGGAGAGGGTGTTTGTTGGGTTTGAACTACCAACCTTTTCGTTAGCCACCGAGTGCTTTATTCACTGCACTACCAGGGTTCTTGAATTTGTGCAAAATACCTTAGTATTTTCTGGTCCTGTCCTATCCAATCCTGTCTGATCTTATTAATATCTGGTCCTAGTCCATTCCCTTCCAAACTGTTGGCAAGGATTTGTCCAACTGAAAACCCTACTGAGAGGGCTGGATTGGGTTTGAGAAACAAGACCAAACTCCCTGTCAGCAAGTCTTGCTGACTCACAGCGGCCCTGTAGGACAGCAGAGAGCTGCCCCTAGGGGTTTCTGAGACCATCACGCTTTACAGGAGTAGAAAGTCTCCTCTTTTCCCCCATCGAGCAGCTGGTAGTTTCAAACTGCCAACCTTAAGGTTAGTAGTTCAATGCATAACCACTACATCACGAGGGCTGCTTGCTGGCTTGGATATTAAACCCCAGTGCTTCCACTGCCCTAGAGATGGGCGCTGGAAGGAGGGACCATTGGGATATCAGTGAGCTGCTGCCAGGGTGTGAGACACCCACACGGCACTCTGATAGAGCTGGGTAAAGAGACTTTCAGCCAATGGGTGGTGGCTCATAACCCCGGTTTCTTTAGAATTTTCTTGAGAAACCCCAACAAGAACAGCCTTTATTTCCGATCTGCCTTGCTACCAAAAATGCTTACTTGAATGTCAAGATCCAGGCTGACCACCTGCAGCGACAGCTTTATGAGTGGGGCTTTAGGGCACAGTGTAACACCTTGCACACCTGGAGACAGAGCCCAGGCAGGGTCACCCAGGTGGAGGGTCCCAGAACTTCTGGCTCAGCCTTTTCCCCTGGGCCTGCCTAGGTGGCTGGGTTTCTCGCAGGACGGAGCCCTGAAGAGCTGCCAAGGGCTCTCGCTCCCCTGCCCGGAGGTATTTTTAGGCTGTGAGTCACCAACTGCAGTGATCTAAGCCACACACTCCGTCAGTCCTCCCACTCCCCAAAAGAGCTGGTGCTCACCCCTCATCCTGAGGCACCACCAGCCCCAGCCCCCAGCTCTGCTCGCTTCCCCCCAAATCCAAAGCTGCCCTCTCTCTGTGGCTGCTCTTCCCTAACATGGGAGAGCATCGCAGCGAGTCGTAGTGTGTGTCTGTATTAGGGGGCGGGTATTCATGGTGTGCTGGTAAATACTTAACAAGTAATGTTTCCAAGAACAGAAAGAGGAGGGGGAGAGGAAGAAAACCTTCTCCTTTCAGCATTTCCTGGTTTCCTTGATGTAAATACTCCCACAGGAAGTTTTAAGTGCCACCAGGATACCACAGAAGGGGCCGTGTCAGGCACAGTTGGCTCCAGGAACTGGTGTGCCCCCCCCT